AAAATAAAATGGACTAATGGAGTATCTTTTTTTTGTGTGAATCATATAGTACAATTTACCAAGTACAAAAACTCAATACAAATTACAAGTGACTTGTAAATATATTAAATTCTAATACTTTTCACTATTAAAAAGTTAATAAGAGTTTTACAATCCGATATATATAATCCTCTCATACAATTGTTCCCTAATTATATTTGTTGAAATATAAAGGCTTGCTATTGAATCACCTATATGTCACTGATAACCTGCACAAATAATAAACAAAAGTAATTAAAAATAATAAAATTATAGGGTCATTTGTTTGCACAAACTGTAAAGGTAAAGGTAATATCACAGACAAGATACAAACAAAATGGTTTGTCATCTTAGTTAAAATAAGGAATTTAAACAAAAATAAAATATAATTCCTTTAACATATGTGGACGACATAAGTTCTTCGACAATACCTTGCAAAAACACATTCTTAACCTCAATATAAACAAGGAAAATTTATTCAATTACATTGATACATGAGTAAATATGATTTATCTTATATTTCCAGTACCTCCTAACCAAACTTTGAGAAGGATTTGGTGTAGTCAAATTGATACTCCAAGCTAAGTATGATGCCATTTTTTGCCAATTGCACTCTCATGGGATTCATGTGCAATATGAGTAGACACAATAGCTGGAGGAGTAAGCTGCGACATTCAGACATTTATTGTTTGTGAATGCTAAACCATAAACACTAATTATCTGTGAGTGTTGTATTCAAAGAGATTAATGCAACAAAAATATTTTTTTATCAAAATTAAAAATACAAGAGGAGATGAGTGAACTAAACCAAAGCCCTTAAAAATAACAAACACCTAACCCTCTACAAGTTGCCAGTGAAAACAAATTCTAACAAAAGGAAAATAGTTGTACAAACGGCATTGCAAATGTAACATACAAAATCTTTCACCATTAGAGTATGTTCTTAATTTATAAGTTTTAAAAATTTAATTAAATACCTTGAGACATTGACAATATATCATTGAGTTGACATATCTTTCAAATACATGTAAAAAACAATGTATATGTAGCTATCAAGATAATGAATAAAAGATCCAATAAGAAGTAGTTTAGAGACTTTTTATAGCAAGTGTTGAAACTAAGTAGACTCTTAATTGGAAAACAGGCATTCCACACCAGTAATAAGCACATCACAAACATTTTAGAGTAATTTTTCAATCAAAGCAAGTTTTTTCTTAGAATATAGACATTTTGTGCCAACAAGAAGCACATCATAGACATTTCAAAGCAATTTATGAAATTGAGCAAATTTTAAATAAAATACGAACATTTTTCACCAATAACAAACACTACATAGACATTTCGTCATAAACATGAAAAATTCCCAATTACCACAAGTTTTTAACAAAAAATCAGCCATTGAAAAGATTAAAAAAAGAATTAAATGGCTGAACAAGTTTGAAAAACAATGATTCACAAAAAAACATTTAAAAAAAACTAATTTCACAAGAGGGGAGGATTGATTTGTGGTTAGAATTGAGTGATTGAATCTGGCTTTACAAATAAAAACCCTAAAATTGAAATAAAAAGTGTTTATTATAACCTTTAGTTTGTTGTTGTACGGTGGTTAGGGCGCAGAAGATTGAAGAAGATGAAGGATGAAGTCTCCACCAAGTTGAATCATCCATCGATGCACCAGATTGAGGAAGGCGAGTAGGCGATGTCACTACGGAAGAACGAGGAAGACGAAGGAGGAACTCTGGGAGAAGGGCTGGTCTTCCGTTAGTTGCCCGCTCCCTGCTTTCCCCTGGAGATATCTGCGAGAGAGAGAGGGAGAGAGAGAAAAAAGTAAGGAAGGGGTATAGAGAGAGAAGAAAGAGGGTGGGGGTATATGGTGTACAAACGGTGTACACAAATGGTGTACACATAGCCTTTTCCTATTGATTAACATGCCACACAGTCTAGAGGCGCGGTAAATTAGGCACAGTTGTCAATGTTCCACTAGCAGATAATGTGCCAAATCTTTTAAAGATATGCAATTAGCTACTCCGTACTCATTAAAAAAGATTTTCAAATTTCTTGGTAAATGTGCCAAATCTTTTAAAGGACACCACTCTCCACTTCTATTTCATTACCATTCCTATAGCTATATATACATACGGAGTATCTGTTTATATTCGTCGATTTTTGGCTTCTTGGATTCATAGGTTAGTCTGTAACCAGATAATGGTCTAATTAAAATCCTTTTAATGCAAAAAATGATCCAAATAATATTGTATAAGTTACATATGTGCTCCGTCAAAAAGGGATCGATCATATGCTCCGTTGTAAAAAGGTCATGAAGATTGCTTTAGCTTGGGAGGTAAGCATCTCTCCACTCTCCTGTCCTCTCATACCTCAAATAAACACAGCTAGCCCATGTCCTTTCTTCATACAAAGAATTTGATTAGTTTTTTCAGTGTTTTTCTCACTGCAGTACAAGACTTTTGAACAATAATAATGGTGCCTGAGAACTACATAACACTAAAACAAAAGGGGTACTTTCTATACAATAATTGAGATAAAATAAATATAGTACTTTAAATGCAAAAAAGTCAACATAGGAATTCTAAACAAATTTTTTGATTGGTTAACAATGGTTCAATGTTCATGATGAACATTTAAAAAATTGATGATGCAAGAGATAAGAATCACTTATTAGAGCACATAAAAATAAAAAATGAAGAGAAGAGTAAAAATGATATGTACCGCCACTCTTTTGTTCTTGGTTTCATACTCTATATTTTCATATTCTTTTGACAATGATGGTCAAAAATAACATTATAAGTTAATAAAATAAAATTCTTTCAAAAAAATAATTACGTATTTCACAAAGGATTACACGAAACACAATTCAGGGTTGAAGACGTATTTAAAAAATTCTTAAGAATTCTATGATTCAAAATGCATGCTTCATATAAATGAATTAAAATGAAATATTTGAAAATGGAAAAGCATGTAATCTCTTAACAAAAGTTTAAATCAAGCCAAATATGAAATTATAATCGTGGTGTAAACTATTGAAATTTCTCAAATAGAATTTATAAAGACAAGATATGTAATGTTTAACCTCTAAATCTGTAGATCTGTGTGGTAGAAAAGAATAGCATATAAAAACAACAATTTTCTGGAAATTTAATGTTTAATCTCCTAGATGCGAGCACTTAGAAATATTCAAAACACAAATTTGCAGAAACATTAAACGAAGTTTATGAATCTATATGCATGCTAACTATAATTGAGGTGAAAACACGCTACATGCACAAAAAAATCAATGAAGTTGAGGTTAAGTTATCAGGGATGAAAAATCAAATGTTCTCCCACCCACAAAAGATAATAAATTTCAGTGAAAATAATCACCACCTTTCCAGATGTGATGCCAATTGGAGAAGCAGGAGTACTCTACTCGCCTAGAAGGGCTAATGGAGTAAAGGAGCGGCGCTTACAGAGGGGCTATTTGGGGGTATAAATCAAAAAATTGTTTAGGGTTTTGATAAAAAGGGCGGGTCGGCCCATTAGACTCAATCTTATAATTTAGCCCAAAGTTAAAAACTTCAATTCACATGAGAAAATAGTTCAAATGATGTATGCATTGATTGTTTTCATGAATCTATTAGAAATTTATAAGATTTTCAATGTTAAATACTCGCAGATCCGAGAGAAAGGATTACCGGAGAGAAAAGGCGTGAACATCTAGCCAGTCAATAAACAACTTCCTTTGAGAGGACCACCGTCTCTACATCCCTTCCGATATCAGAGAATAAGGTTTTTAGATTGACGGAGAAAAGAGACACCAGACTCAAGATAAGGAGCGGCGAAGATTACAGAGAATGGGGAATGGTGATAATTGGGAGGGGGTAGATGGGCTCATCGGGTTAGGTCTGACCATTTATCTAATCTTTGCTATTCCACCAATTATGGGGTACTAGCTAATTTAAGTTGTTTATTTTAATTACAATATTTTATTAAACTTATTTTTATTTATAAATTTATGTAAAAATAAAAAATACTCCATAATAATTATAAAAATTATATCAAAAATTCTATAAATCAAGATGTGAAATTATTTTATTAAATAAATAACCAAAATAATTCAAATGTCCATAGGTGTAAGTTTGCTATCACTATGCATATATATGTGGCCGGAGTATTTCACAAAAAGTTTCCTGTAAGAGGTACTTTGGGTTCAGTATTGTGAGTCAAGAACTTATTGAATAAGCTTGAAGGTAGAGAGTGTTCTCATTTTATTGACATGAGATTTCTTTATATTAGTAAGTAACATTATGGATTGGAGATTATTTTGACAATTAGTCACAAAACATTGATTGTTATCATTTGCCTTCATAAATTTGTATTTACATTTTCAAGAAAATTATTCTGCCTCATTAAACAGACATTTGCTTTTGAATCCCAAGTGTTCCCTTTCTTTCTCTCTTTATCCCCACCTAATTTGAAACCATACAAGTTTATAGTTTATTAAAAATAAATGCACCATGCATGCATTCACCTAGAATTTTCATTTTATTTTTATTTTGCAGTCACCTAAATTCAATTTTTTGGTACTTTGTTTTTTAGGTAAAGCTGCTAGATTCCAAAAATTCAAAAGATTTGGAGAATTTGTTAGACTATGAATAGAACTTCCTAAGAATGTTAGTTTAATTGTTGTTGGGCTTTAATCATTGGTTATTATAAATTGGATTATTCGATTTACTTTTTATTACTCTATTAATATAGGTTAAGCTTTGATTTTGTAATTTAGATCATATAACTCTTGCATCACATAGTAACTATTGGATCACCTCTTTTATGAAAATCTTTTTTAAAAAATATTTTTTTATATCTTATTGCATCACTTTTTAATTATGAATATTTAATAGGTTGAGTTCTACTTTAAGTATGATATGAATATACTCCCTCCGTCCCCCTGTATTTGACCACATTTGACTTTTGGAACTGTTCATCTAAGCACTTTGACTCATCAAATTCTCTCAATGTGTAAGCCTAAATATAGTCATGTGTGATCTTGTTTGATTTATCTTAACATATAGATTATTAATATATAATTTTTTAATATACAAATTATAAGATAAAATGGATTAAAGAAGTGCATTGGATGGTGTGTAAAAATGAAAGTGGACAAATATAGGGGGACGGAGGAAGTATTATTTACATTTGCTTGATATTTAAAACATTCATATGGTTTACACAGTGGAACATTCTCTTTAGGGAAAATCAATGTGTTTTGTACCTAGGTCCTGATATGTTTAAAACATTCATGTTACATAGTAAAACATTCAACACTTTTTGCTTAAAAAAAGTTACATTGTGTTTATTTATTGTTAGTTTCACAACTATTCTTATGTCTTTGAATAGAATTTCAAACTTTACTTTTCATACATCTTTATCTCTACAATGGTGAGGAGAAAATGAGTAGTGTTTCCGCCTAAACTTTGGGTACCCAATTAGAAACAGTAATGGGTCGGATTGGCAGGGTTAGACCGCCCAAATTATTAGGCCAGTTCATAAGGTTTTATGGGTGAGTGGGTACGTCATGCGTATGAGAAAATGTGTATAGCATGGAGCCATACACCATAAAGTAGTCCAATTTATTTCAAATCAACATTTATTAAGGGATGATGTCAAATCAAATTTTGGTGTGTTGCTTAAGGAAAATTTGGTGCGTTGCTCAAGGAAAAATTTGGTACATTGCTCAAGGGAAATTTGGTGTGTTCCTCAAGAGAAATGTATAACTACATATTCAAAAAAGTAAAAGATATTACGTTGTTCAAAGAAAGCTTTATATCAAATCCAATTAAGTAAATAGATTTACTAAATCTATGCATTTATTAAATAAGTTCATAGGTTCTTTTTCTAATTATTATATATACTCCCAGGGGCGGAGGAGAGGGGGGCATGCCGGGGCACGTGCCCCCCGGCGAGGCTCCGGCGATGAGTTGCTATGGACTGGCGTCGGCAATTGGAAAGTATACCAGCTATGGAGGAACGAAGGTGCCCCCGCGCTTGGTGCAGCAGCTGTGGAGTGCTATTTTTCTCTATAACTTTTCCTCTTCGTCAAACGGCGTCGTTCTACATTTTATTTTAATAAGGATTAAACTCTAAGCGACGTCGTAGGAACGTTAGGGTTTATAGAAAAAATTGCCGAACTCCCGCGCATGTCTCTGGCTTCTTTGCTTCTTGCTAAATCTTAAAAGGCCCAAATCCAATCTAGAGTCCATAGTCCATAGGAGTCAATCTCACCGCCATAGTTTTGTACATGTTTTGTTTTACTTTAATACTTGAAAAATGCTAGGGGTACACCATTTGGTGTATCCCATTTGTCCCACACCCCCTTCATTACCACAAAAATGGGCAAGATATTTTAAAAAAATTAAATAAATAAAAATGGAGTAAAAATGAGTGGTGGAGAAAGGGGTGGGGGACAAATGGGGTACACCTTTGGTGTACCCTAGCATTGCTCTTAATACTTTAATTGTTTAATAATTATGACCTTTCATCTTTAATTTGTTGTTATTCGAAGGGATAAATAATTGTGGTAATTTATAATTGTATAGTCTGAGTTGGTTTAAATTTGAATGATTATTATTATTTAATAATACTCCCTAATGAAAACGGAGTATGGAGTATTTACAATTTTGAGATATTATTATTTACTCCATATACAATTGTTTCAGTTTGTGTTCAATTAATGATCTTATATTTGAAATTATTGTCATGGGTAAATGTGTGTCATTTGATAAAAAAAATTGTTTTAAAAAGAAATAAAATTGTGTATAATAAAAAATAATGTCGATTTATTATTATATCTCTAACGTTTGAGATAATTTTTCAAATTTTTTTTATCATTTCATATTGGTTTTTTAAAAAAATCCGAGAGCATTACCCCCAGATTGTCAGGTAATGTGCCCCCCGCCAGTGAGCTCCTAGCTCCGCCACTGTTAATACTCCTTATACCAAATCGGCACTTCTCACAATCTCATCCCAAAAGTTTCCCCTTCATATGATTTGAGGTCGCTTAGTGGGATGTTTGGGGCACCTTCATTGTTCGATCATAGTATTATTTTTTCCTTCCTTTGTACCAAAAAAATAAGAATCACATAAAACTTATCAGAGCCTCTTCATAGTTCAAATACATCCCACTTCATAGGGTTCAATATATATGATATAAATTTTCAATGAAATGTCTAACATTATATATATATATATATATATATATATATATATATATATATATATATAATATATATATATATATATATATATATATATATATATATATCTAAAACCAAGTTTATTCTTACGTTAGAATACTTTCTTTATTCTTACTTAGACCACGAAATCTAACACTCTAGATTCCCAATCCTAACGTAGTTTTAATCCACGTGGTTTTTGGTCTGAAAATGCATCATGTCGAAATGCAACAAAATCCTTTAAAAATACACTATCTCAAAATCTGAGTGCAGGATGCAATCTGAGCCGCACGATGCATCAGATCCAAAGGCTAGATTTTATTCTTATTTCTTTCACCAAGGTGCATTCTCACTTGAACCACCCCCTATATATATATATATAATGTTAATTTAATTTTATCATTTTCCTTAATCAATATTTTCCATAATTATTTTGTTTATGATTAGACCGTGCAATGTACGGGTACGAGTCTAGTTGGCAAGAAAAAATAGTGAAACTTCCCTTGATACTAATTTTATAGCTAGCCGGAAAAGGTCATTAGGAATCACAACATTGATGTAGCTTTTATAATTGAACCTATTGTTAATATGAAGAAGATGAATTTTTTCAAACTTAGGCCTCGTTCCGTTCAACTTATTTTTTCTTTTTTTTTCTTATTCTTATTAAAATCGGATCAGATCAGACCAGATTCGATCGAATCAGATCAGACCAGACCAAATCAGATCCCATCAAGAATTATTATTATTATTATAGTTGTTGTTGTTGTTGTTGTGGTTATTATTATTATTGTTATTATTATTGTTGTTGTTGTTGTTCTTATTATTATTATTATTATTATTATTATTATTATTATTATTATTAAAAATGAAAAAATAAACTTTAGGAACAAGTTAAATAGAAAACTAAGAAAATAATACTTAATTATTAGACGTCGGAAAAATTATTTTTAAAATACATTGACAATGTCAATCTAATTATACTTTTAAAATACATTTTTATTTCTATTTGTAATGTGAGTTTCCAAAGTTTTGATCTTTTATAAAGATGATATATTTTAATAAAAATACTATCTCTTCTATATTGATTATCTATATTTAATTACTTTTTAATGTATTTATAAATTAAATACTTATTCTAATGTGTATATGAAGTAATTAGTAAAATATTACATTAATATTCTAATTTCACAAAAAAATAATCATAAAATAAAAAATATTATTACATTATAATATGAATGATTATTCTAAGATATTTCGTATGATGCTATCTCCGTCCCTGAATATTTGTCCAGTTTTGACTTTTTTCGGTCAACCGTTTTTAACCTTTGACCTATAATTAAATAAAATATATATTATATATTAATTAGATAAAATCAAATTTCGAAAATATTTGATATACTAAATCTAATAAAACTATTTTTGTATCAATATCTAATATTATTTTAATTTAATTTGAAGTCAAAGTGTACCAATTTTGACTGAAAAAAGTCAAAAGTGGACAAATACTCAGGGACGGAGGGAGTATTATTTTTTATACTCTCCATTATTAATTTAAGTTCATTACCTCTCAAAAAAAAATGATTTTATAAATTTAATCACATATACATATTTATTAATTAAATACCTTATTTCAAAACTTTAAACTTATTGCATTATTTATTATATTAATACATATATTTTTCAACAAAGTAAATAGAATAAAGGTTGTTTAGTTGAAGGGTGAAAAGTGACATTACATCACATATACATTCTCTAATGATGTATCATTATTTAATTATTCAATTTTTTATTTTTTTTCTCTCAATTAAAACTAATTTTATTAATAAATAATTTATTAATTTTGTATAAAATCTTTTATTTTGGAACTAACATATCAATATATGTTCCACCAGTTTAAAACATTTTTTTACATAATTATATTATATCTAAAATATACGGAGTATCTTTTAAACTTTATCGATGTTTTGAAAAATAAAGTTTTGTATGATTTTTTTAAAGAACAATTGATCATTTCGCTTTTATTACTTTTCAATAAAATACTTATAGAACTTTTAGTGCATTTTAATTGTTATCAATATTTAAAATATAATTGTTATTTAAAAAAAGATATAATTTAGAGTTAAAAAATTTCATATAACCCAAATTATGTCACTATTAGAAAACAAAAATAAATAAAATTCTATTTATAGAATGTCAAAAGTTTAAAATGTATACGAGCCCGAATTAAGCACGGGATTAACACTAGTAAGTTGGTAAGATAAACTTTTTCTGGCTTATAAGCGGCTTATAAGTACAAAGAAATATGTCAGCGACTGACTTATAAGTTAAAAACAGTTTAGAAGAAGTTTTGACTTTGGCTGGGCAAAAAAACCTAACATAGTACCATACCAGAACGTAATGGTACCAAACCCAGGGCCGTCTCCAAAGAATTAGGGGCCCTGTCCGACACGGAGAAAATGCGCGATTGTGTGATAAAAAAAGTAAAATTTATCGATTAATTTTTTTAATAATATATAACATTGTAGTAATAATAAAATGTCAAACTCATAGTGATGGGATTAACCCGATCAGATGGCGGACCAAGAACGTAATATGAATCAGGAAAATGTAACCACTCGATAATATTCTTCTATTAAGTATTGAATTGTCTCCTGCTTTACAATGGCGGGTTCTTCCCCTTTTTATAATATCTCTAATAATATAATTAAAATTATACAAAATGGAAAGGATTATGGAGATCATGGGGTTGTAATTCCCTCTTTTCCGATCTCGTTCTCTTCCCACTCCGTAAAAGACCCCATGACGTGGGCCACGTGTCCCACTCCTTTCTTGGCCTGGGTCACCCTAATTTATTCCATGACTGGGCCGTCTTTCTCTATCTGCCATATGCGCAATAATGGGCTCGGCCCATTATCTCCATCTGACTTTATACCTTTTAGGTCATTATAGGCCTTTATTTGGGCCTGGAGTCGGGTCTACCAGACCCGATATCCATCACAAGCCCCCTAGTTTTCTGGCGACGTGTCGCTAGAAACTAATGATGAGCCGCTTTTGGTTTTCGCGTCGGATCAGAAACGTCGCACTCGAGTACCTCGGGTCCATCCTTTCAACGGATAAAAACCCCTTCTGGACTCGTCTTCTTCTTCTCGCTACTGGATCTTAACCCGACCCGAATTCCGACTGCAATTTCCCCAAATCTTTGCTTCTTTTCCCAAAATGGCTCCCACAGATCCCGAAACCTGGACCCATGGGCCCTCCATTATCAAGGAGAACGAACTTCGAGAGGTAGCCGTGCTCCTGGGCAAGGGCTTCCGGGTCCACCATCCCGATGCCGTTGGGGGGGTTAGTTTATCCTACAATCCAAACCCCAAAAAATATATGGTCATGCAGTACCACTCCGTGGAAAATGGGTTTAGGTTGCCCCTCCACGGTCTGCTTCGCGACCTCTGCCTCCATTTCGGATTCGCTCCGGGTCAATTGACTGCCAACGCACACAAATATGTCGCGTCCTACATCCTGCGGTGCTGTGCCCTGGACAGAACCCCGAAATTGGATGAATTCCTTCTCCTCTTTAGTATCGGTGGTTTCCCCTTCTACAGCCTATATCCCCACAACCATTTCCCAATTTTTGAGAAGGTTGAGTTCAAGCATGAAAAATGGTCATTGAGATACTTCGTTATTGAGTTCCCGGCTCACAGCCCCCTTGATCTACCGGGTGTTGTCCTCCGCCGTTCCATTTCCCGGACGAAATTTGCTACAGCAGAATTAGCGGAGGGAGTGTACAACGCTTTGAGAGAAAAAGAAGGTTTAATTTCACACCACTCCCTTCAAGACGCCCAACTGTACAAGAAAGCGGATTTTTACTACCCCTTGGGTCCTGACCCGTTTCCATTCGAAGGCGCGCCTTCTCCTGAGAAATCGAAGGCTCCTTCTGCTGCAGAGTCCAACCCGGCCATGAGCTCTCCCGGGAATTGATCCCAAGGCAACTCCACTGCCTTGGCTATCCGCAAGCCGACTGCCGCCTTGGAGGCCATTCCCATCTCTGCCATTCCTGGGCTTAGGAGGCCAATTCCGTCCCAGAAGCGGCCACGGGAGGGAGTCACCGATGATGATTTCCTTCCCAAGAAAAACAAGGGTGATGATACTTCTGTTTCACCCAGCCCCCTGTCTGCTTCCTTTGATACCCAGCACACCATCCCTGCTGCCACATCCGGGGGTTTGGAGCTACCCCACCCGGATATCTTTGATTGCAAGGGAGAAGAGCTCCGGGACCAGTCTGCGCTCAAAAGACCCATAACGCAGCCTCAGCCTGAGGCGGCCGGTTCCTCCCCACATACCACAACTATCCCCCAAGTGATGGAGGAGGAAGGGGTGAGGCGGCAAGAACCAGAGTCTTCCCCCACAGCAGAGAAGGAGGTCGAAGTGCAGACAGAAACGGAAATCCCCTCCTCGAAGAAGAATGAGGTTGGAGAGCAAAGGGATACTGAAGCTCTTCCAGAAATGGAGAGAGAGACTGAGAGGCAACCGGAGCCGGAGGGACAGTGTTCTACGGCCACACTCCCAGCCCCCAATATCCCCATGCAGCGTAAGTTCACACCGCGAACTTACCCCGCTTTTACAGAGGGTTGGGCAGGCTTTTCCCGCGGTTTGAGATCCTTACAGGCTTCCCATTGGACTATCCAGGGGAATCTAGAGAAGATGAGGGAGTCAGTGCAGGAGCCTACAATCCCCCAAGCTCGCCCTGACTTGCTTGCCCTCAATACTCTGCACTTCATGGAGCAGGTATTCTTCCTTTTCAAAAACCTCTTTATCTCTTTTTAAGTTCATTCTTTTCTTGACTTCCCTTTCTTTCTTTTAGGCCCAGCAATCACTCCTCACTTTGACTGAGGAGTACCTGGGTGGAGCATCAGGGAACTATCGGGCTGTAGTGCTCCTGAAGGAGAAGGCATTGGCTGCCAAGGCTTTACAACAGAAGGTTGACTCCCTAGAACAACAGGTCCGGGTCCTTCAGGAAGAGAATGCCCGGCTCAAGGCAGATGGCTTAATGGAGCTAACAGCTGAGAGGTCCAAGGTCAAGTCCCTGCAGGAGCAGATCGCTACTTACCAAAGGGGGACTCAGGATCTGGAAGCGCAATTTGACAGACTCCGGGCACAAATCTCCATCCTGGAATCAAGGGCCTCAGCTTCAGAATACAAAGTGGGAAATCTGGAAGCTGGATTGGTTGAAAAGGAATCCTGGATCTCTGAGCTGGAGAATTCCCTCCAGGAGGCCAAGCACGAGGGTTCCCGCTCTAACGATTCGCCCTGAAACAGATGGAAGCAAGACGGCTTACCCTCGAGAAGTTGAAGGAAGAGAGACAGACTGCAAGCGAGCTCCGGTTAAAGATGGATGAACTGGAGAAGACAACTGCTGCCCATCAAGAGGAAGTTGCCACTTTGACTGCCCGCGCTGAAGCCCTTTATGAAGAAGGGAAATTTGACATGCAACAATGCATCTACGAGGAAGTTCAGAGTGGTCTTCCGGAAAACCGATCCTTGGACGACTTCATCTCTTACTATGGGTTACCTCTTCCTCTTTCTCCCCCATCTTCTCGTGCAGATCCGGGGCTTTGACTTTATCCTTCTCTGTCACATGTTGTATTTTGCTTTGTAACATTTAGATGGTAGTTAATTGATAACACTTGATGTATTTTGTCCGCATAGACTCCTTCTATTAATATGTCTGTTTCCCTTTTGGAACTCTTGTTTCGCCCTAGGACTTAACAGATTTTTTTTATCCGCCTAGGCTTTGGGCTTAACTGCATTTGCAATGTACTGTTTTTATTGTTTATCATTGCGCTAAGTGACTGGCCCACCTCAATTACGCCGGGCCCAATTCACTCTAGCCCAATAATAAGATGATGCAACCCTAGCTTTCCTCGGGAATCCGCAAGTGCCTCCCAATCGGATAAGCGCTCTGACTCCGCATCCCTTGCACTTCTCCTTTGGGATTACTCGCCTATTTAAGGGACTAGGCTGAACCCCTTCATCATCACAATCAAATTCTCAACATGGCTAATAATGCCAATAGAGTCGTCTTTATTGATCTTACTATTTCCGATTCTTCTTCTGATTCTTCTTCGTTGGCATTCCCTTCACTTGGGCCCCCAATGCCTGAGCTCTCTTCTGGGCATTCTCTTGTCTCTGAACAATCGGTGACTTCTCCCTTGCCCAGGGAGGAGAATCACCCTCATCTCCCCCCACAGGTGTCAGGGGGCGCTCCTCCGAGTCCCGGCGTGCTTCTAACGGTGCCAGGACGGAAGCCTCTTCTGGCCGTCCTGGCACGTCTCGTCCGCAGAAGAGACGCAATCCCCACTCAGGAGCTTCCCGGTTGGTCTCTGGTGCGAGGCCTTCCTCCCAGGGTTCCCCTTCCCCTCAGCAGTCATATGGACAGCCACCTGAGGGGTGGGGGGACTATGACATGGGGGGAAATAGGCTTCCATTTATACGCAGGGAAAAGGACGGAACCTTTCAGGACCTGCCTCCACCTTCCGTATAAGTGGAAACAGGCCTTGAGTCCCTCCCTTGTGCCTCATCTTCCTCCTTGTTCGTCTTCATGGGAGTGTCCGCATGGTACCCACGGGGGAATGGCTTTCAATCCCAACTCGTTAGTACCCTTTCGCCCCTTTTGAATGTCATCAAGAGAGAACGGTGGGCTTTCTTCACACCCCCCCCGCTCTGGGGTTCTTTTCTAGTTCAGGCAGGGAAGCAAGGGTCAGCGTATACACTCCTTCAAATTCCAGAAGTGTTGATCCGCCTTGCCTTCAGCTTTTTCCAGTGGTAGAATAGAAGTAGATCAGGGACAAAGTTCATTACTGTAACCCAAAAGAATGTAACCTTCCATTTGAGTTATTTAATGAAAGTCTTTATCTCCCGTCTCTTTTTTATTTTGTTGTTTGATCAGGGATAAGGCCCATTACTGTAACCCAAAAGAATGTAATCTCCTGTTTGAGCTATTTAAATGGAAAAACATTTATCTCCTGTCATTTAACATAATTTTATTGCACGTGGCGTCATCTGCATGGAGTAGAAGTCTAAATTTATTTAGCTCCTTACCTTCCAAGGATGACGTCTTTTCCCAAGCACAGATGGGCCCAATTAACTAGCCCATGCACTTAAGTGGCGAGAAACCCCTAGTCAAACATGGGAAATCTTCGACCGCTTCCTTCGCCAATCGCTTAGTCTTTCACGTCTTCCAACCACATTCATCACTTCCCAACTATCCCTTCCCCTTTGACTATAAATGGGAAAGGATAATTAGCTGCCAGTCTATCCCTTTCTGACTTCTCCGCCATGGCAAGTAAGTCTGAGAGTAAAGTCGTCATCGACTTAACCCTCTCTGGGACATCTTCTTCTTCGGATGATGATTTCTCCGTCTCTCCAGCCCAATCCAACGACATGGCCGGGTTGAGTCCTGGCGAGTTCTCAAGACTCTACCCGGCGCCTCGCCTTCCTGCACCATCCCCTCCTAGTCCACCCAGGCTTCCATCCGGGAGGATAGACTAGGACTCTATGACCCTCCAAGACTTCGCCTTGTACCAGAGGATGTGCAGGGCTAAACTCGGACGCTCTTTGCCAATTGTCGAGGCGGAACCTTCATGTGAAAGCCGAACTGCTTCCCCACACCTGCTGAAGTCTTCCAACAATGGTTCTTCATTGAAGGGAGCAGCTCCCCGTCCTGGGACATGGGAAGACTATGACATATGGGAAACCGCTGATTCATCAACGTGTCCCCCGTCCAAGAGAAGGAGCCCATGGAAGGGTCCCCCACCTCCTTCTTGTTGACTGCATGGATGCAATAGGCCCTCCTTCAGTTCCTAGCCTCCTGCAAATCAAACTTCTCTTCTTTGTTTTGTATCAAGGGGCGTTCACTTGTTTGGTCCAGGGATCTTCCCTGCATCCAAACTAAGGAATGTTCCTTAATTTCAAAGTAGGAATCATCGCTGTAATCCAAAGATATAACCTCCGAATTAGCAATCGATGAACTCCCTTAATTTCTTTTCTTGTTTATTTTACTAGGAACCTTTATTGTGAACCAAAAAATGTAAACCTTGGCCCATTAATATGGTCCTTAATAGTCATTTCTTTGCACCTCTTTTCGAATGCAAGTACATAATTCATTTTCTATATAAAATCTCATCTCCCGGGGTTTGGGCATGCCAGGGGCACTTATTTCATCTGCCCCTGCCTCCCCTTCCTCCGGGTTAAGGCATAATCTTATCTACCTTGGATCAGTTGAGCTCCAACCCTCGAAGTTTGTTTGCTCGGTTGATCTATGCTAGTGGAATACTAAGCTTCAGCCCTCGAAGTCTGCTTGCTATTCTTCCTGAATTCCAGGTTGTAATGGCCCTCAAAGTCCAATCCCTACCCTTCCTTCATTTTCGACGGAGGCATAAACTTCTCTACCTCCGGGGGGCATAAACTTATCTACCTCCCCTATTTTTAGCAGGTGGCATAAACTTTTCTACCTCCCTGTAATGCGGGTCTATGTCGCCCGGGGGTGCTTCCCCCCCCCCTTTTTTGTTTTTAAAGAAATCTATAGAACAATGAAATTGCAAAGGCACTTGGTTGTAAAAGAAAAGAAAAAATTTACTGAAACAAACATCTGAAATTAAAAATAGAACGTTTTTACAAAATGATTTCACTGATAAAATTTGACCAAGTGCTCCACATTCCATGTCCTATCAATTTCTTTCCCCTTGGGAGTCACCAACTTGTAGGTACCTGGGCGAACAACGGCCTTGATGGTATAAGGTCCTTCATACTTCTTAGCCAGCTTCCCACCCTTAGTTGGTTGACTTTTCTCCCGTTTCCTCAGAACGTAATCCCCCACCTGGAACGCCCTTGGTTTCACCTTGCTATCAAAGTAAGATTTCACCTGGCGACGATAATTCTCTGCCCGGATCCGTGCTTCATCCCGTCGTTCCTCTACGAAATTCAGCTCTACAGCCTGATTCTGTTCGTTTACCTCCGGGCTATATTCCATTTCTCTCCTGGTGGGGATTACTACCTCAGCGGGAGCCCGGGCTTCGAAATCATAAGCTAAGCCGAAAGGAGTGTCACCCGTGGCTCTCCTTGGAGCCGTCCTGTATGTCCACAGGATTCTGGGTAGTTCATCTACCCATTTGCTTCCTTCTGAAAGTAGCTTCTTCTTTATTCCGTCTATGATTGTTCTGTTGATATTCTCCACCTGTCTATTAGCCTGAGGGTACGCAACGGACACCTTTGTGTGCTGAATTCCCCAGGTTTTGAGGAATTCTTGAAACTCTGCTTCCTCAAACTGGGTTCCATTGTTAGATATGATCTGCCTCGGGACCCCAAACCTGCAGAGTATATTTGTTCCGACGAAGTCGATCATCTGCCTTCCGGTGATCCCAGCAAGTGGCTCAGCTTCCACCCACTTGGTGAAATAGTCTATTGCCACCACAATCCATCTTGCCTGCCCAACTTCTTTCGGCAGGGCTCCCACAATATCAATCCCCCATCTTGAAAAGGGAATCACAGAGCTGACGGGCGTGTAATTCGTGGCTGGCCTCCCGGGTATATTCTGGAATTGTTGGCAGGTCGGGCACTTGTGTACATACTCTTCGCAATCCTTCCTCATCGTTGGCCAGAAGTATCCTTGGATAATAGCCCTTCTGGAGATGGAGTAAGGACCCTGATGTGCAGCACATACTCCTTCATGTATTTCTTCCATTAGTGCCTTTGCCTCTGCTGCCCTGAGGCAACGGAGTAAAACACCGTTGTAAGATTGCTTATAGAGGACTCCATCCTGTACCTGGTAGGTTGGTGCCCTCATTCGCAACGGGCGTGCTTCTTGGGGATCCTCCGGGGCTTCACCGTCCTCAATGTATTTGGCCAACCTGTCCAGCCATTCCGGGGGATCAGCTGATACCCAGATCACCTCACTTCTGTTAAGACTCGGGGTTGCCAGCTCCTCGACGATTGCTAATTTGCTTATGTATTCCGGTGACTCTGCGCTGAGCTTAGATAGAACATCGGCCTCTGCGTTCTGGGCCCGGGGTATATGTTCAAGCTTAAACTCAAACCTCCCCAACATCTCTAAAGTCAAGTCCCGGTACCTCTTCATCCTTTCTTCCTTTGCTCCAAACTCCCCTGTGATTTGTCCCACCACTAATCTGGAGTCGCTGTAAACCTGAACCCTGGATACTCCCATCTTACTAAGAATCTTCAATCCGTTGATCAGGGCCTCATATTCAGCTTCATTATTGGATACGCGGAACTGAAATCTGATAGCGTAATAAATCCGAAATTTCTCTGGGGTGATCAAGACGATCCCTGCTCCGCAAGATCGAGATCCAGAAGATCCATCAATGCTCATTACCCACCAGTCCTTTTCCACTCGGGTTTCAACCTGGGCTCTTGTCATTTCTCTAGCGGTGCACTCAACTTGAAAGTCGGCGAGTGCTTGCCCCTTGATGGATGGGCGCGGCCTGAACTCCACGTTATACTGACTAATGAAGACTGCCCACTTGGTCATCCGGGCAGATGCCGCGGGGCTTCGGGTTAGTGATTCCAAAGGCTCATTCGTGAGCACAACAATCCGGTGAGCCTGAAAGTACGGAGTTAATCTCTTTGCTGTCCAGAAGACCGCCAACATGGCTTTTTCTGGACGGGAATACCTTAACTCCGCATCCCTCAGGGTCTTGCTGATGTAGTAGACCGGATGTTGGGCCCCGTGCTCTTCCCTTACGATCACAGTACTTATAGCACAATCTGTAATTGCCAAGTATAGAGTCAAAACATCTCTAGGTTCCGGCTTAGACAAAACCGGTGGGCTTGAGAGATATCTCTTTAGTTCTTCGAATGCTTCTTGGCATTCCTGTGTCCATTTGAAGGCCGCTCTCTTCTTGATCACCGCAAAGAATTGGTGCGCCTTCTCTGCCAGCTTCGAAAGGAAACGATTCAAGGCCGCCAATCTCCCTGTCAGCCGCTGAACTTCCTTTGCTGTCTTCGGGGGTTCCATCTCCATAATGGCTCTTACTTTCTCCGGGTTTGCCTCAATTCCTTTCCGGCTAACCATGTGTCCAAGGAATTTCCCACCCTAAACAGCAAAAGTACATTTCTTCGGGTTCAATCTCAGATTTACCTTCATCATGATTTCAAAGACCTCCTCAAGGTCCCGGACATGGTCTCGGGCCTCTTTGGATTTGACAATCATGTCATCAACATACGCTTCCATGGTCCGCCCTAAGACAGCCTTGAACACCTGAGAAACCATCCGGGTATATGTCGCCCTGGAATTTCTCAGCCCAAAGGCCATCACAAAGTAACAGTACAACCCTTCTGGGGTCATAAAACTTGTCTTTTCAGCATCGACCGGATGCATCCGAATCTGATGGTAGCCACTGAAAGCGTCCATGAAGCTCATTAACTCTGACCCGGCAGTCTCATCCACCATCTGATCAATGTTGGGGAGGGGAAACGGATCCATGGGACACGCCTTGTTCAAATCTGTGTAGTCGACGCACATCCTCCACGAAGGGGGCTTAGGCGCCAGTACTACATTTGCCAACCAATCCGGGTACTGCACCTCTCGGATGTGCCCGATGCTCTGCAAGGTTGCTACCTCCTTCTTCACGAAATCTCTTCTTTCCTGCGACAAATGCCTCCGTTTCTGCTTCACTGGTTTAGCATCCCGCAGGACATTTAGGCGATGAACTGCAATCTTGTGATCCAGCCCTGGCATATCAGCTGGACTCCATGAAAAGACCCTCCTGAACCTCTTAAGAACAAAAATCACTCGTGATCTGAGTTCAGCCCCCAGGCCCTTGCCAATCCTGACCAACCTTCCCGGCGTGCCTGGCTCCAATTCCACTTCTTCAATGTCGCCAGCAACTTCTACTCCGGGACGTTTTTCCTCAGCCCTCAGGAGCTGCGCAGTCACCTCTCCCACTTGGGTATCGTACTTGACCGGCTGTTTGGTTGCCTTCAAATACCATGCCCGGGACACTCTCTGAGATCCCCTGGCAATTCCAACTCCGTGGGGGGTTGGGAATTTTATGCACAGGTGACGAGGCGAGATGACACACTCCAAATCTTCCAATTCGGGTCTGCCCAGGATAATGTTTGTGTTGGAGATTATCCCCACCACAACAAACTCCATGTCCAACTTCCGGGTAGCCTTAGTATCCCCTATCTCAACCGGGAGGGTTATCACCCCCTCAGGTTCAATAGAGTCACCGGTGAACCCGGTCAGTGGAGTCTTGATGGGTGATAATTCATCCCTTGTCAAACCAAGAGCCTTGTACGTATCCATATACATGATATTAACGGAGCTTCCCGTATCCACAAGGGTTTTGTGGATCAGTAAGTCCATTATATCTATAGTAATCACTAGGGCATCCATGTGGGGGATCCCTGTTTCTGGAAGATCAGCATTAGAAAATACAATCGGCTCGGTTTTCAGCTTCTTACCTTCTGGGACCAACACCTTGTTGACCATCGCCGCGTTAGCCCACTTCTTCCGGCTTGTGGCTGAGTCTCCGCCAGTATTCCCTCCAATGATGAAGTTACACCCGTGGTGTCTCTTCTGGCGATGCGGTGCGGGTTCTGAATCCTCCTCTTCGTCTTCAAGCCCAATGTGGCGTTTCTCCCGGACCTCAGCCTGAGCCACTTCTTTATCTCTGCGCTTTCCATTCTGAGCATTCCCGCGATTTCCCGCATCACTATCTTGCACGAATTTCTTTAGATGACCCCGGCGGATTAGCCTTGCCATCTCATTCTTCAGAGTATAGCAATCTTCCGTGTTGTGGTCATTCTTGCGATGGTAAGCACACCACTTCCCAGTATCCTCCACATTACAAACCTTTTGAGAATAGGTTGGATAAGTCATAAGTCCCTGCTGTGCAGCGTGGGCCATGACCTTAGCCACCGGCAATGTGAAGACTGGATTGGTAGATTTGTGCTTCTCCGAGGTCCGAGGACTTGTGCCCTTTGGGCCATCCGGGAAGCCCTGCTTCTTATTTTTAAACGGCTTCTTAGTCCCCGTCTTCTCTTCTTCTTTAGGAGTCTTCTCTTTCTCCTCCTCCTTCCTTTCTTCCAGGGTCACATACCTCCCCGCCCGGACCATTGCTTCTTTGAAGGTATCCGGGGGATGAGTAGTAAGGTCGGTGTGAAGGAGTCCATCCTGTAATGCCGATGTGAACATAGCCAACCTGGATTTATCATTGTTGAAACACGGGTTTATCACCTTTTCGTACTAAAGCCGTGTTTGTTCTTATGACAGGTTTTGATAATGCCAAACCGCCGTGCTCAAGACAAACATTGAATATACAAGGCGAGGAACGAAGATAATGAACAAGAGCTAAAAGAGACCAAGAACGAAGACCGCAGTCTTTAGTATTGTTGAGTCGGTCATAATTGTAATCAAGACCGACCAACCCTCACGCATTGGCTCTTTAGGCTAAAACCTTTTACTGCATTTCTTACATTATAAAAATGTTTTTCAAACTTGTTTAAGTCATTAAAAACACTTGGTGTTCGCCCAAACCAAAAACCAAGCCATCCAGCGTTCGGGTTTCAGAAACCGGCGTTCGGCTCTCGGTTATCGGCTATGGTTTTTGGCGTCCGAACCAACCGAGTGGTTTTCAACTTTTTATATTTTTTTTCACTCTTTGACATGTTTAAACGGTTCTCCAACAAAAACACTTCGAAAACCATCTTTC